CGATATCACCAAGCATCTCGGACCTAGTGGCAGTGATTGTTGATCGACGACGTATTGCCGCCTCGTTGCTTGGGCTAATCAAGGTCAACCGAGCAAGTTCCTGGCCGGGAGTAACCGAGGTTTGGGAGGAGGTGATCATGCTACGGAACAAAATTCGGAGCTCACTGAGGACTGCGAAGGAAAGGGTCAGTTCAAGAGACATAGTCATTGGCATCGACAAAGTGACTTACATCGCTGGGATCGCTCGACCTCCTTCTTCGTCACCTTTCGAGAGCCCACTTGTTTCTTTGCGAGGTTTTCCTCGTCACCAAGATCCATTTGGAAGCGTTCGAAATCCAAGACCAACTCACGGAAAGGACGGACAGAGAAATAGAACTGCAACAGGCTGTTGAGATAGCACGTGTTTCCGATGTTTTGAAGTCCGACTGGCCAATCTCCCATGCTTCTATCAGGCTCATTGGAGATACCTGCCATATTCCTCAACGTAGAGCTGTCCAGTTGTTTGGCAATAATTGTCAGAGCTTGATTGTATCTCTCGGCATCCCCTGGGTTTTCATCGATGCAGATTGTATATGCGGCTATGATCGCCCCATCGTCGACAGTTCGATCAGGGATTTGGAGTAGACGATAGGCATCACCAATGTCCATTTCCCCAGCAATCATCTCCCCAGTATTGATGAAATGTTTCAATGCGACCGATTTGCGGGACTCAGCAATAAGTGCCACGGCGCGTTTCGCAAGTTCTTGGGTAAGTGGATTGTCGTTGACCTGGTTCGTAACATAGTTAGCTCGCGTCCAACCCACAAATGAAGCAACTGGAAAACACACCTTTGCGGTGTACATAGTCATGACAAAATCATCCGGAGTCTGATCCTCGACCCCCAAGAAGACATTCGCTTGTTCGACAGTAGAAACACCTGTTGTCAAAATTAGCATGCATTCGAGTTTCGAGGCAACATGACTGGATCAACGCACGGTCTTCTGATGCCGCCTTGATGCGCGCACTTCCCCTGGAGTCACCAATCCGCCACAGCTGTTGACGCGCCTCGGTATCCTGCGTTGTAGAGTTGAGGAAGGCATAGAATTTGCCAATGATGCTATCCTCAGTGAGGTTTGGATCATCGAAGTGAAGGTGGAAGTATTGATACGCGCCGATAACATCCTCAACGGCGTACTTCCCTTGTTCATAAGCTGTCTGGACAGCTATGTCAATGACTACCTTGTCTTGTTCACCACGCAGACAGCCGATAGCCTTGAGAGCAGACAAGTACATCGGGGTCCTACCAGGATCAGCTGAGACTTGTCGGTTGTATGCTTCGACCACAGCCGTTGAGGACATATCCTCCATCACTCCTAGGTCTTCATAGAAACTAAAGAAACATGTGTCAGATTGAGTTCCGTCAATTTGAAGATAGGGTGTACGGACGGAGCATGAGCCATCTCAAATTCCTTGTAACGCATAGCTGTCGGATCTGGAACAGATATTAGTTGGATGTCCCAGGGTTAAGGATTACAATATACGAACAGTCTTGCGCTTCTAGAGCGCAGGAAATAACGGGGATGGCAGACGAAGGAAGTTCAGGAATCTGGTATCCTTTTCTTTCTGAGACCGATCTGAGATGTATCAGGACTAGCAACTCATGCAGCAAGTCGTCAAGAAAGAGACGGGTTGTGTCTTGGTACGGTTTCTCGGCGTTAGAGGTCGGTTTAGGCGGGTGCCATGCCCCGGTCTCCTGCGTCGATTCGTCAGCGACATAAGACAAAACGAGACCAGTGAGCGATTTGGAAAACATGTCATTATTACGAACCTTATTGTACATGAACTCTAGAAATTCAAGTAATTCCTTACACGCAGCACCTTCCACGCCAAAAGAGTGCATGAACCTCTTATTGACAGAAGAGATGGGCTTGCTGCGTTGCGGATTTCGTAGGGCGTTGGTAATATACAGGCGTAGATTATCCAATATATTGATTGGCTGCGGATCACCCATGCCTTCCATGGACTCAGGATACACTGCCGTGGCCTCTTCAGCTCGTTTCCGCAACAACTCTTTGTCGGTCATCAAGCGGATGGATTCCGGGCTTAGAATCGGAGAAAGAATCCGCAAAGACACCATGGCCGAACATGAGATGTACGAACATTGGTAGTGGTACGTCTCCGCAACCTGCCCTTTGGGAGTTTCTTCGGGCAACGCAAGACCATTCTTCTGCCGTCCTGATTTGTAGACCAAATGGTGCAAGTGTTTCCCCTGGTTCTGACCAAGTGTGCTCATGTGGCTGGTGTAGTTAACCACCACTTGAAGATGATAACGGCACTTTGTGCATATGGCCGAGACCTTGGACGATGTGCCTGGCCTTCTCCGGTGTTCTGGCTCTGACGTGAATGTTTGGTCTTCTTTCAAGACATATTGGTGTCGACATGCTTCCGGTGATATGAATGCGGGTGGGCCGGTGTAGCCTTCTGGGTAAATGGGCGGAGTTTCCGAGAGGAGATTACGGCCTGTGTCTGGGTCGTGTGCTGGATCATACAGCTGGACATCTTGAATGAAACGCGGCGCAGTCTTTCCTATATGATTGATAGAAAAAGTTGTAAGCATTTTCTCAGGTTATATTCCAAATTTGGTGATCCAGGTTGTTGCCTTACCGGCCCTCTGTACAGACGCCATGAAGTACGGTGTTCAGGCCTGAAGGCCTCACACAGGTTGGATAATCGTCTTGATGCTACGGGAGAGTTGATTCTCCTAAAGGTTTGATTCTCATCGAAGCTCACAAAAGCGCGCAATGTAATAGCTCAGCTGTGATGACAATGTTGTCAAATGATGAAATCGTCACTGTATGCGGAGAGACAGCGGGGAGCCTACTGCACTTGGCAGCAAGCAGTGGCAAGCTTCTAGAACTCTCTCCTCCACGAAATGGACGGGTTTGAGATCAAGATTCACTTCTAGCAAGCAGCAAGTAGAATCTCAGACGGTTCTTGATGAAAACAAATGAATCAAAGGGTTCGACAAGAAAGAAGCATCAACCTAATCATGTAGAGCTCCGTTGGAATGGCGGGCGTTGGCGGTCAGATATGGCAGAAACCTGACTCCAAAATCCTATCGCCAACCACATCCTATACCGCAAGCAGTCCATCCCTGCTATCACACACACATCATGGCGCACCACGACGAAGACCACAGCTATCACCCTAAGGATGCCATTTCGGCAGCCATGAAGGCCACCGCGCTTACCGGAAGCGTCGGTCTCTTCGCAGCCGCTGTGCAGAACACGCTCACCAAACAGAACGTCGGAACTCTGGGCGTCTTCGTCCGTGGCGGTGGTATTATTACTACCTTTGGTATGTGCTTCTTTACATATAAATTGATTGATCAATTGCTAAACTGGACATGTTACAGCGGCCATGGGTGGTACCTATGAGTTCGTCAAGAGCGCTTCCGCCAACCTGCGCGAGAAGGAGGACCACTACAACGTCGCTCTCGGTGGCTTCTTCTCAGGTGCCATTCTCGGTCTCCGAGGTGAGTTCTGAATTTAATTGAGTCTATAGTTATTTATTTGGAGCTAATAACCCGGGTTACCTCAGTTCGCACACTCCCCGCTGTGCTCGGATATGGTATCGCCCTGTCAACCGCTATGACCGCCTTCGAGTACACCGGTGGCTCCCTGTTCGGATACCAGAAGGACACATCGGTGGATGAGTTCGACCGCCGGACGGCATTGCGCAAGGCATTCCAGACTCCCGGAGAGCAGACCATCTCGGAATTGGGTGAAGGACGTGGTACGTGCTTCTTATCCGGGTAGCGATATTATCTACCAGTACTAATTTTACTAGGTATCTACGGCCCTGGCTACGAAGAGAGACGCCGGGAGCGTCTCAAGGAGGCTTACGGCATTGAGGTTCCCACATCCCCAGTTCCTGCATCATAAGCCTGCATTCTTCTCAATCCGCCTTTTCCCATTGCTTTGTGTAAATTATCCCCCCATATCACGCTGCCTATCGTGTGGACACGCCCATTCGATTTGGTTTTCTTTAGTCTCCAGGAAATTCAAAACAAGACACATTTCAAGTTTGGACCAATACAGGGTTGTGCAGTTCTGGGTATGCTGGGCTGTAGATACCTACATGGTAGTCCTGGACACTTAATTAAATATAGCCTACAAGACCCGTAGAATCATCGCATGAAACTTAACATCAATTAATCTTGCAGCGGACATGTACCACTCTGGTGTTCAACAATACTCCAAAATGAGGGGATATCCCCGGACCACCCGGGAGCCAATGGCAGCGCACGTATATCAAACGAGTGGAAGACTTCGAGATGTTTCCCAGGCTGGTATGCAATCACGATGAATCATGGATTTTTTGTGCCAAAAAAAAAAAAAAAAAAAAAAAACGAGACGATAACACTGCCGCCAAAGGTTTACCAGCAGCTCTTCAGATATTCGAGCTTACGAAGTTGCCAAAATCGGGCCAAACTTTTGATATTCCTCGGCTCCCGAAACTACCCATGTATTCTATCAATGCCATTCGACGTGTGTCGGGCTTGATTACAGGTGGGCTCATGCTAATGCTATTCATTTTATCTATGAATTAGTAGATTTGGAAAAGATGTAAAAAAAAATACACACCCCTGGACAAGTAGCTGCTGGATGTGACCAAAAATATAGTCGCGCCCGGGATCGAACCGGGAACCTTCTCGGACCTTGTTGTGAGCGAGACGCCATGACCATTAGGCCACGCGACTTGATTATTAATCTTTTTTGACATGAATGACTATATCAGTAGGATGGGTCACAAAGGAAACGCCAAGGGCTTATTTCCAGGCTTTCTCAAGTTAGATTAGAGATTAGAGATTGTATGTTGCAGACGTTACTTGGAATAGGATAACAGAAGGATTAAGAGAGCGTTCTCATAGTACTCCTTGGAAGATAGAAGACATTAGTCCGAAGACTAAATAACAAGATAAGACAAAGGGTAGGCTAGACTATACTGTTCACATCAATCAAACCTTAAGTATTTGCTTTCCGACTTGACTTTTGTAGGCCCGGGGTTGCTGGCAATCCAAGGTTAAGCCAACCTTGGAAGAACTAGTTACGGAGTAATGGAATTATAACTCACGTGGACAGACTAAAACCAAAGGAAAGTTTGTAAAACGGAGGGCTATTAAACGCAACCAGGTAGTCGCTGTGTTAGGTCTTAACTAAGGCAAATCGACCGGGAACGCAAATGCTTCAAAATGACCGAGGTTTACAGAGAAAGAAAATGGGAAGGTTGTTTAATTAATAGGGCTTGACAGTATACAGACAAAAACATAGTCGCGCCCGGGATCGAACCGGGAACCTTCTCGGACCGTGTTGTGAGCGAGACGCCATGACCATTAGGCCACGCGACTTGATTATTAATAATTGTTTCCTCAAATGATTTACTAGCCTAAAGGGATTGTAATATCCGGGCTTTTCCTATAGTACAACAATTAGTTATTTTACTTGACTATAATAGTTATAAGTTTGAGGGTATAGAAAGTTTGATGCTAAAAATAGCATAATAGAAATTCCGAACCCCTCATAGTGGCAAAGATTGCTGAAATGCAATATCAAGTCGCGTGGCCTAATGGTCATGGCGTCTCGCTCACAACAAGGTCCGAGAAGGTTCCCGGTTCGATCCCGGGCGCGACTATGTTTTTTGTCTGTTGAACATGTAGTCTCCTAGCTAGCATTTTGTCTTCGTACTCAATAGTCCTCTATTCCAAGGAGGATAAAACTTTTTGTATATTGCCAACTCATATCTTTCTTAGTCTTTTGTTATATAAGCTTCTTTTTAATATACAATAAACACAATAAAATATGGTTTATAATTTATTGGGCTATAACTATTGCTACAAGTAACTCTATAATGTATATGGTCTAGCGATATGATCCAATTGGCCACTGCAAAACAGATTCGCAAAAAGACCTAGCTTACTCCAGCCTCTTTTTCTGCGGCATTCTATATTCCTCGCATGAGCGGTCGATCTAGAAAACTCCGAGGAAGACCTCGACGTTGATTTCGACATTGATGTGACAAGTCCCAAATCGAGAAGTGGTCCAATGATATGGAATAAACAACCTCAGTTTCTCGCTTAAGGGATATTCGCAACTCAAGACCCTCGATGCCTTGGTCTTTCTTAAAAGGGCAGCCAAGTTGTTTGCCACTTGATAGTTATACATATTGGCACATCACGTGATGGAGAGCTCCCCTGGACCTCGGGAGTGAAATTTACTGCCAATAACAGCTGATACTTATAGTGAGGAAATGTGGTACGCATGAGCGGAACCAGATAAAGATGTAGTACTCTGAATGAGCCGAGGAGAAAGTTTACCTAACATACCTAACATACCTAACATACATGTAAGTAGAAGAGGGACTGAGTGCCAAGCTGCCCTCCCCAGATGCTGATGTCATGCACTGTTCATCACTAGATGATCAGGGGGGTAGGTGTACCTATCATTCTCCCCTTTTATTTATTTTATTTATATTTTTTTTTTCCGTATGAGCCACAGATCAAGTGGATCAAGTTCATCAGATCACAATAATAATCTTATTCTGTAGTTTTGTTCTCTTATATAGGGGCGGAGTCCCTCAGCCACTTTTCCTTACAGGCAACCGTATAAATTATAGGAGTCCTTATTATGTACTTTGTACGTTACTATGTATAGTTTGAACCAGAATGAATGGAATATGGAATACTTCAGACGGCTTTAAATTCCGATCCAGTACGTCAACCATGAGGAGATAGATAATAAGAAGTCAAATGGCATTTCCCCCCTCTCTTTCTCCCGGACGTCCCGAAAGCCCTTCTTCCAAGGTCGTCACCATCTCGCATCTCGTAGACGTCATCGTCAGAAATTCCTTTCCCTTTAATTCCCCTCTGCCCTATATCGGTAGCCCAATCTCTTCTAATCTTCTCCTTTTTTTTTCTAAACTGAGTGGGGCAAATCTTATGCTTCTGTACCTCCCCCGCATACAATTTGCTCCGTTCGCCAGGTAACCAAAAAAGACGCCACTTTAGGTGATCTCTTAAGCTATCATCCTCGATTCTCGCTTTTTTCCTCTTCCTTTTAAATTTTTTTACTTTCAACCTTCGATTAAATTCCGGTTTTCTGCTTCGATTCTTATCCTTCGAAAAGCTGCATAAACCATAAAATCCACGTTCCCGCAAATATGGCGATGGCCGCGCGGCCACAGACGCCCTCACAGGATGCATACATGATCCCGCACCCCAACGATCCGGGGGTTTTGAGCCGCGGGTACGGCCCGCACTCTACCCTGTCGCGACCGAATTCCTTTGCCGGCACCTCAGCATACCACTACGGCTCCGGCGCCCTCGAATCGTCGCAGGTTCCCCATAACCCCCGTTTCAAGGAGGACTTCGATACCGCCAGTCACCGCAGCTCGGTGTTTGACAGCCCTGCTGGAATGCAGCGGTCTGCCTCCACCATGTCGCACGTGCGCTCCACGACCCCGTCCCGTTCGAGTACTTTGCGGAAGAAGGCCTCGCTGAGCAAGAAGGGGAGCCTGCGGCGCAATGGGAGCCGGAGAAGCATGCGCGCGGGAAGTGTGAGGAGTTTGAGCTTAGGTGACCGCGAAAAGTATGGCACCGATGGCTCGGACGATGTCAATAGTGCTTTCGTCTCTCCCATTCCTACCAACGGTAACCCGACCGAGGTGCTGGCGAATCGGTTTGGAGGTGGGCTTTACTCGGTCAATGCACGGGTTATGGATATTTTTGCTGACTGTTATTTTATAGCTTGGCGCAAGCTTCTGAAAGACTTGATTCTCTTTTTTAAGGAGGTGCAGAAATCATACGAAACTAGAGCGAAGCTGTTCATGTCCGCCTCTAGTGTCGTGAATAACCAGACCCTTCCGCCGGGTTTGCTTCAGTCGGGTGGTCTGGCCGATGCAACGGAGATCCTTCAAAACTTCCACCGACAGGGTTATACTGAGGCCAATAAAGCTGTCGAGGTGGAGGTCGAGGTTATCAGCCAATTGACTGGTCTCCGCAGCGATCTTCAGAAGAAGACCAAGGAGATTAAGAGTCTTGCGGGTGATTTTAAGAATACCGTCGACAAGGAGATTGACGGCACGCGCAGATCCGTACGCAACTTGCACGAGGCTCTTGGGCTCGTCGATACCGATGCATCTGCTACATCAGGCAAAGGTGATCCATTCATCCTGCGCCTGAACGTGGAGAAACAGGTTGAGAAGCAGATCGAGGAGGAGAACTACTTGCATCGGGTTTGTGATAAGTTGCCCTTATACTTTTTGCTTGTCTAATGTTTCTTTCATAGGCATTCTTGAACCTGGAGAACTCTGGTCGTGAACTGGAGGGAATTGTCGTGAGCGAGATCCAGAAAGCATACAATGCCTACGCTAGTATCCTCCGACGCGAAGCCACTGAAGCTCTGGACACTGTTGAGAAGCTCCAGGCGGGTCCGATCTCCATGCCTCAGGACTACGAGTGGAATCAGTTTGTCGCCAACACAGAAGAGCTTGTCGATCCTCGGATTGCCCTCCGGGATGTGGAGAGCATCACCTACCCTGGCAAGGGTCACCCGGCAGCTGCCGAAGTCAGGGCTGGGATGTTGGAACGCAAGAGCAAGTATCTCAAGAGTTATACTCCTGGCTGGTGAGCCCCCCGCCCTGTCCCTGTACAGTTTGAAGCTTTTGTCTAATTAAGTCCAGGTATGTTTTGTCGCCGACGCATCTCCACGAGTTCAAGTCGGCGGATCGTGTGGCATGGCAGACACCCGTCATGTCGCTTTACCTGCCAGAGCAGAAACTCGGGTCCCACTCACAGGAAGATTCAAGCTCCCACAAGTTCATGCTGAAGGGCCGGCAAACTGGCGCAATGCACCGAGGCCACTCGTGGGTCTTCCGTGCCGAATCTCATGAGACCATGATGTCCTGGTATGAAGATATCGAGGGCTTGAGCAACATGACAGGAGAGGCACGAAACGCCTTCGTCCGGCAGCACGTCCGCAGCGTGAGTGGCAGGTCGATGCAAAACGAGGTGATGGAGGATGATGAAGCCGATCGCACTCCATACTCCGCAGGCTCTGCGGTCATGACTCAAGACCGACCCACATCCTCTCGCCAAGCTGGAGGTGCGTTTCCCAGCGACGTCCAACTTGACCGGAACCTCCAAGCGCCCTTGTCACCTTCTAGCGGGGACAGCTCCGCCGGCAGAGATATGCTAGGAGCTGCTGGATCGTACCCTGATGGGTCTAGTGCATTTGGTGACAGCCTCCGACCAGTAGGTAGCCGTGAAGGAAACAGTTCCTACCAAAGCCACCGGTCCAACGAGGGGATCAATGAACGGTCTCGGCCCAAGGTTACCCAACACGATAGCTACTACGGCGACTGGATTGGACCGTCCGTGATAGTAGCTAAGCAGAGGCAGAGCCAGCAACTGGAAAACCCGACCCCGGATGACCGCGAGATCCGGTCTGATGGAGACCAAGCTTCCCTTGCTGCCATCTCAGGTGTCGGTATTGCTGATCGTCGCGATCACTCGGCTCCTGCCCAGATTTATCGTCGGGAGAGCGTCTCTACAGCGCCTACTAACACCAACGCGACTGAGTTTACAAACCATACCAATCCTACCTCGGTAGATGATCAGGAGCTCGAGCTCCCTAAAATCCAGACTCTTGGCCTTGAGAATGGTTCTATCAACCAAGGCCCTGAATTAGACAGTGCAGCCAAGATTCCACCCGCTTTGCTGCGTTCGAATACAGACAACAGTGTCGCCCTGGACATGAAGATGCCAGGCCGTTATCCTCGCACCAATGTGGCTGCATAGGTGCTTCACCCTCTCTATCTTCATCCCCACATTTGTCTTTTCATCTCTCTCTTACCCCATCTTTTCTTATTTTCTTCCATATTCTTGTCTGTACATGTACCACTCCTTGCCTCTTATACAATTCGTCCTTGTCTGCTCAAGGCGTTTTGATCCTCTCGCTGGGACAGTTTCCACACAGGTCCCGTCTCTCCCACAGCATAAAAGCCATGCTGCATCGGCGTTCGTTTTACCGGCAGGGTGTGGCGCAATGGATTTTTTCTTTTATTGTTTATTGTTTCATGGATTGATTCTTGATTCCCAGTGCTGGGCACTAAGCACCCATTTCTTTCGTTTTCCTGTGGGACTTACTATTTGACGTTTTTATTGCACTCTGGAGGCCTTTTTTTTCTCCTTAAAAGAAAGGATACAAATGAACACGTTCCAGTTGAATTTGCCGTAGTCGTCCGAAAGGATACAGGCCGTGGCAATTTAGTAACTGAAATACGCTGTGCAGCCAGTCATGAGTGCAGATGTCCACTGTATGTTGGTGTGCTGGTGTTGTTGAGATGCACGATAAGAGCGATAAGGCTACTCTGTATGGTCAGGACCTACATAATGCGCATTTCCGTAGGCGCAGTACATAAGTCATAGGTTAGGGTTGTCGTTCCTCTCTGGGAACGAAAGAGGGAATAGGTATCTACATTAACCTTTGAATAGCTTCATCCTTAATACCGGTATAGCTACGTCGATGTATACAATCAAGTCTGAGCTATATCCGAGGCGGTGACGAGTTTTGCCCGAGCTGTCCAAGTACATATCGGAATTCTGTATTTTCTTCTCTCCATGATATTTCCCTCCCAGGACTCTTTATAGAATCCCAGAATCCAAAGAATCGACTCCTCTTCTGTCCCTTTCTCCTGTTCTATTCCTCCTCCTCTCCTTTCTTCTTTGTACCACATTCAACTTTCTTCACGCTCTATCGAGCCAGGAATCATGGGTATGTTCTTCGTGTCCTCTCGATTATTACACCTTACTTTTTCGTATCTTTGTATTACTCGTTTGTTACTCTCATCCGCCTGGTACACTCGAAGGTCCCCGGTCATTCCAGGCCTTCATCCAATCACCGTCTCCTGTCTCCCCCCCCCCAAAGGCTGAACCTTGACGCCTGGTCCTTTCATCTCCCCCGCTTCCTCTCTTTTTCTATTTCTTCCTATCTTTTGGTTTCTTGAGATTCTCCGCTAACAGCCTCATCCGTCCAGCCGACGTCTATCGACCATACCAAGTAAGTTTACCGAGAACCTTCGTTTCCTTTTGTTGTTCTATTCCCCGCCGATCCTACAAACCATTTCAATCTTGCGCATGGCGCTGAGGTCTATATCAATGATCATAAGATTGTGGTCAGTGCGGGGGTGGAAACCGCCATATCTGCTCGATCAGATGCCTTCCAGATCTGGAGATCTGTGGACCTGAAGGGGGAAAAGGGTGAAACACTTTACCATCGCAATCTTTGATTCCAAAAAAAATAATTGCAGATGTGTGCGCAAACAACGTTTGCCAGTGGCCCTAAGCTTCTACCCCGGAGGTCCTCAGTGCATCTGAGACAAACAACCCCCTCAAAGCTGGTGGTCACCTGACCCGCGCCGAGGACCCCGACCCCCTCTGAGTTGCGCCTTCTACGGTAGCGACTGTCCTCTGAACACACGTCTTTTGCTCTTTCCCATCTCCATTTCATCAAAATCATAACATTGCACCGCTTTCACGACCGCCTTTCTTATCTACCTTTTGTTCATGTCTGACCACATCCAGCGTGAGAGGTCTCGCTCGCCCCGTCGCCGTTCTTCTCGCAGTCCTCCCCGACGCACTCGCCGTTCGTATTCGCCTCGCAGTCGCTCCCGCAGCCGTGGTGAGCGCGACGAATACCGCCGTTCTGAACGCCGTTCCCGATCCCCTTTGAGTACTTCTGGAGCAGCAGCTGGACCCCCAGGCTCAGGCTCGCCTTTCGGAGGACGCAGTGGATACCCCCCCGCTAGATTTGAGGACCGCACCGTCGCCAAGGAGAATATGATGCAGACCGTTCGCGATTCATCCCAGCAAGACCGCCGGGTCTATGTGGGTAACCTTTCGTATGATGTCAAGTGGCATCACCTTAAGGATTTTATGAGACAGGGTGAGCAGGGTTGCGCATTTGGAATGGTGATTTGTTGGAACGTTTGAAGCTAACCAGGGTTGTGATTTCGCGCTTTACAGCTGGAGAAGTTCTCTTTGCCGATGTTTTGCTTCTTCCTAATGGAATGTCGAAGGTGGGCGCTTATATGTAGAGGGGCTAGTTCCTTCTATTTCCCCCGATTTTCGTGGTTTGTGTAGGGTTGACGGGTGGACATTGGCTGTCCTGATATTGTAGGGATGCGGGTGAGTACTTTCTTGTCTTTCTTCAAATTGAACGCTTTCACTAACATGTCTACCAGGATTGTGGAATATGCAAACAGAGACCAAGCGCAAAACGCCGTGAATACGCTCAGCAACCAGAGCCTGATGGGTCGTCTTGTTTATGTTCGTGAGGTACGTTGACACAGAATCCTATCGCATTGCGATTACAAGTACTGACTTCAACAATCTTCAGGACCGTGAATCCGAGCCCCGCTTCGTTGGTGGTCCCCCACGGGGTGATTTCGGCCCCGGTGCCCGAGGTGGATTCGGCGGTGGTTTCGGAGGCCACCCAGGTGGTGCAGGTGGTGGTGGCCGCCAGATTTATGTCTCAAACGTTTGTCCCCTTTTTTTACTCCCCGTTACGCTAAGTTCTGGCAGGCCTTGTTGACCGTTCGGTGTAGCTTCCTTTCAACGTTGGCTGGCAAGACTTGAAGGATTTGTTCCGCTCAGCTGGTAAGTACAGATCAAAAACACCCTTGGACTTGGATTCCTACTTTTCTGTCTAGTGTGAGGTGAATTGACCCGGGTTCTGTATCACAGCCCAGCAGGGTGCCGTCATCCGTGCCGATGTGCACACCGACCCTACCGGACGTCCCAAGGGCTCCGGAATCGTTGCTTTCGAGTCTCCCGATGATGCGCGCAACGCCATTGCGCAGTTTAACGGATATGATTGGCAGGGTCGTCCCCTTGAAGTTCGTGAAGATCGTTTCGCTGGCGGTGGCCCCGGCTTCGGTGGTCGTGGTGGCTTTGGTGGTGGCTTTGGCGGTCGTGGCGGCTTCGGCGGCCCTATGGGCCGTGGAGGCTTTGGTGGCCGCGGAGGCTTTGGCGGCGGATTCCCTGGACGTGGCGGCTTCGGTGGTCCCCCTGGTGGCCACGGTGGCTTCCCCGGTGCCGGTGGATTTGAGCACGGCGGTGCTCCTCCTGTTCCCTCCGGACCCCCCAACCCATTCACTGATTATGCCACTTCCAACGGCGAGAAGAGCGCTGTCATCTATGTTCGCAACGTAAGTTTTGGGATGTGCGATAGGCAACCATATGGAATGTGGAATGCTAACTCGAATCCAGTTGCCCTGGTCTACTTGCAATGAGGACTTGATCGATCTGTTCTCCACCATTGGCAAGGTTGATCGCGCTGAAATCCAGTATGAGCCTAACGGCCGCTCCCGCGGTACCGGTGTTGTTCAATTTGATACTCCCGACACTGCTGAGACTGCAATTGGTACGTTTCTATTTGTATTGCAGTTGCCAATGTCCACATACTAACATTCATCTCCCACAGCCAAGTTCTCCGGCTACCAGTACGGTGGTCGTCCTCTGGGCATCACCTTCGTGAAGTACATGAACGCCGGCCCGGGTCCTGAAGAGATGATGGAAGGCCAAGAGTCGACCGTCGGTCTGACCCAGGACCAGATCATGTAAGGCACTTTCGTCCTTGTTTACCTAGTCATTTTCTTTGACAGGGGGGCGTCTGGCTATTTTCTTTTCGCAATTTCTTGATTCGTGATTCCCTTATTCCCATTTCAGTTCTCGTGGCTTCGTCCTCGCAAAATGGGTTTCGAGTGCCCCTTTGGGCTGATCAACTGCTTCTCAAATGGAATGAGCCTTTTTCTTCCAGTGCCTTGATGTTTCGTAAGCCTTGTAGTTCCTTTATCATTCAGAAATTCCTATGTCAGTTTCCTATCGTAGGGAGGTGTTGGTCTAAGGTTTTAGATTTTCGTCGTCGCCCCCACGACCATCATCGCCATTCGTTTCTACATGTTTTATTCTATTTCTGACATCAAGTCGGACTAATGAATTCTCTTCATACCTCTTCCATATCTCTTTTCTCTTCTGTCTCGTCCCTTTTGCCCACAGGTATCTCGGCTTATCGCTCTTTGTCGTGTCTTATGGTGTCTTGTCTCACGCAATCTTAGAATGGAAGAACTTCGGAAGTAGACTGGAGATTGCTCAGGTTTTATACCAAATTTATTATGATTCAGTGCTTTGTAAAGAGCTCCCTGTCTGCCTCTCTCTCAGCGTCCTTAGCTGTTGGGTTGTATAAACAGAACTGGATCACTTACAATCTTTCACCACTATTCTAGACTCTATCTCTAGAGTTGGACTCATTGTTATTATAATTATATTATTAGGATTATATGGTCTTACCCTATAGGTATCGACGTTATATACACATAGGCCGATAATAGTGTGGTTGAGTGGAGCTTTGGACAGCTCTAACTTGTACTCTTTGTATGTGGATTCCATACAAAAGGTACTTGTCCCCAAAGCTGAGACGTAGTGATCGACTTATTATAAGCTTGATGCAAACCAAGTATATCCCCCAGTCTATATACATAGTAATCAATCAAAATAGATGCAACCCATGCATAATGCTCCACATATGTACATATGTAGTTTTGTATGCACACTAGATCCATTTGGCTCTTATACTACACCAAACGCACGGACCAACATCCCAATCCATCTCCAATAATCACATCTTCACATCTACCTCTCCATTGACTCCCCCAATCACACCAAAACCATGTCCTACCTCGCCCGCACTCTCCCCAAAAGGGTCCCCAACCCCTTCCTAGCCCAGTCAATCCGTCAAACCCGAGCACTGAGCACAAAAACCCTCCAATCCACACCAACAACCCGCACAACTCAACACAAACCCCGAACTAATCAAAGACACCGAACCTACCACTCAGCCCTACACGCCCGGCTCCCAGACCACTCCTACACAAACTCCCAAACCGCAATCTTAACCTCCGCGCTCGCCCACGTCCCAACCCACGGTTTCTCCGCCACAGCACTAACCCTCGGTGCGCGGGACGCCGGCTTCCTCGACGTCTCGGTGCAACTACTCCCGCGCGGCGAATTCGACCTCATCCTCTTCTGGCTTGCTAGTCGACGGGGTCTGTTGCGCGGGAAGGTCGAGGAGGGAGGGTTATTCCGGCGCATTGCGGCGGAGAAGGGGAAAGATGTTCATGAGCTTTCTGTTGAGGAGAGGGTTCGGGGGTTGCTTTTGGAGAGGTTGAGGATGAATATGGAGGTTAAGGATGTTTGGCAGGATGTGAGTTTTTCTTTCTTTCTTTGTCCCTTCTTTCCTTTGAAGCAGATAGATGCAGAAGAATTCCTATACTAATCCATGGTTGCTAGGCTCTCGCGCAAATGTCGCTTCTTGCTAATATCCCCCTCTCTCTTACGGAACTGCACGCCCTGGCCTCAGATATCCTTACTCTTTCTGGCGATGACGCTGTTGATGCGACTTGGTATACGCGCCGTCTGGCGGTTTCGGCTATCTATGCCAGTGCTGAGGTTGTCATGACCCGTGACCCGACGCCGGATCTTGTGGAGACGGCTGCGTTTGTGGAGCGCCGGTTTGAGGATCGGAAGGCGCTTGCTGATAAGATTACTGGCATTGGACAGTGTGCTGGGTTTGGGTGGAATACTGCTATTGGGCTGGGGCGAAGTTGGGGGTTGAAGATTTAAGATGACTTTTGAATCAGCCTGTTCGCTTTTGGTATCGATGACCAGCTCATACTCCAGTCCATACTCGGGGTTGTTGAGGGAAGTTGCCTGAAGCAGGCTTTGTGGTAGATGGATTTGTACTTTTATTCCAACTATTTTTATTACTGTAAACTACTCCATTCTTGTCAGCGAAAATACTCTATTTTGTTATTCTGGGATCCAGTTTTCGCCGGTTTCCTCACAAATATCCATGCCATGCAAAATAACTAGAGACATAACCTATCATGTCCCAACATGTTCACCCGAACAGCCGCGCTTCATGCCAAAAAAAAAAAAACAAACTGAAAATGAGCCAAGAGCCAAGAGTGTATCTAAGCATGAAAATAAAGGGAATTAAACAGAGAAGCAACGCTCAATGCAGAGAGACGTTCTGCACTGCCTCCTCCACACTGAGAGGCGCATGGTCACCGACAGGACCATCGGTTGGGCCATCTACCTTGTCGGTAGTAGCCTCAGACGGCGACATCAACAAGGTTGGGGACTTCGGCGAGAACGGATCTGAAACAACACTGCCCTCTGGTGACTGTTCTTTCTGAGCAGGCACAGGCGTGTTTTCAGCAGTCTCAGGCTCCTTTGATGGACTAACACTGCTGGCCCCGCTCTCGACCGAGTCACTCTGTCCATGCTGGGGCTTGCCACGTCCCCAACGGCGCGCTTTTGGCGGAAGTGGAGCCTGTCCATGTCGGCCTGTTCCAGCTGCTGGGACTACGGGCCGGTGGTGACTTGAGGAAGGTGTGTTATGACTGGAACGGCGTGGTGGTGGGAGGGCCGGGGGTGGATTTGATACGGCCCGCCGGGGCCGTGAACCGGGGGGTGCAAGAGTGGAACCTGAGCCGGAGTCGGGGCGATCACTGGTATGTGTATGTGATGGTGGTGTGCTGGGGGTGAAAACGGTGGTGGGACTGACTTCGACGCCTTCGGGGATGGTGTTCCCGTCGCTGCTTGTGCCAGCAGAGTGGTGCTCTTCTTCATCCACGGCCAGACGGCGCCCGCGCCAGCGGCGAGATTTCGGTGGTTCGGGTTTGACCTTTGGTGGTCGGATTATTGGCGTCTCGTCATTGGGAGCGGCGGCAGGGACTCCGTCTTTGCGGCTGGGGGTTATTATGCCTGGTTTTTCGTGCTGTGCTGCAACGGCCTGAACGCTTAGTGAAGATGCGGATGCGGGCTCTAGGTTCATGCCGAGCCGGTGGATTAAGCTGTGTTTGCGACTCTCCGGCGCATTAGACGAACTGCACGAGTCCATTCGCGTTGGTGAGGTTGTGTCGGGTGAGCTAGCGATTGTGCTTCCTCGTGAGAGTGTGCGAGAGACATCGAGTGATTCGCCGATATCTATAGGTGACGCATGCTGCTCGCCTTGATCCAGGACAGTCTCAATTGTAGTGGTTGTCACTTGAATGGGAGTGTCTTGCGTTTCTGCTGAATCGGGCTGTTCGTCATTGCGCAGCCATTCCACTGTCGCACACCGAGCGACAAGTCGACGTGTCGTTTCGTCGACCTCTTCGAAATGCATGATCTTCTCGTGTTCTGGGTCGCTCCCATATGAGACTTGACCACGAACAAGAACGCTGAGTAGCCCCCGAAGTCCATCACGCTTGTAGTGCGGTGGGTTTCGTAGCTGTGTATGAGCTAGAAGTGGGTAAAGAACACGTAGGTAAGTATGACGCAGCGCGGAGGCCTCCTCAGGTAGATCAAGCAAATTCCGGATCAATATATCGACCAGAACATGTAGATCGTTCGTGAAGAAGTACTCGTATGTGCTAGGGGTGGTAAATATGAGATAGAGAAGCTTCAATGTGAGCAACTGAAGTGACGTCTCGGCTGCGTGTTGTCAGTCGTTGGCTTTAATGAACAGGAGGATGGCCTGTTACCTTCACGATTGATTAGAAGAATGATGTTCTCCCCGAATGTCTTATACATTCCACCATACATGGATAGAACCTTGATAACCTTGTTAGTCAAGTGACCAGTGGGCCGGCCGTCCACCGGATCATGAGCCGAGATCATAAACTGCTCGTTCAGAACCAGCTGTGCAATTTGTCAATGCCATTCCAACCAAAATAAGCTCGAAGGAAGTACTCACCAGAACCCGAATCACGGGGTAATGATAAGGATCGGTAACATCGTAAGAAAGATCTTCGATGATATCAAAAAGACAGCGAATGAAGTCGTCATCCACGAGAACTACACACAAGCCCATAATCAGCTACCAGCAGCAGCATATGTGTATCCAAAACGCACCCAAATCTTCAATCTTGACCCTTTGTATCCTCGACATCTCATACACAAGGTCCATCAACAAACGATGAAGACCCGCGTCGCCATCCAGATCCGCCCTTCGCATCGCCTGTATAAGCTCAAGGAGACGCGCAAACGCGCCCTCCTCATTCAGCATCTGAAGGACAGCTTCATTCTGTCGTCCGTCAAAGAGGATAAATGACGCAATGAAGTGGAGTGTATTCGGATCATCGTCCTGCAAGAGACCGTACAGAATCTGTCGGCGCACGTAGTCCGCATGTGAAGCGAAGATACTCGACGTAAATAGCTTGTAGGAACAGCGCGAGATATCGGTTTCCGATCGAAGGTATTCGTCTAGGGAAGGGTGGGTGTGTTAGTCGCAGTGGAAACAAAGTTGGGGGCGAACGTGGCGCTGCATGCGTGTCGGGGGTAGAGAGATCATTTCTCGGGGGTCGAGGTGCCATGTATACCTTTGTGCTGAGTTGTTAGACTGAGATAAGCTCGGAGGGCGTCGTCGATCTCGTCTTCGGAGTCACAGTGCTTGGAGACGATCGTTTGAAGTTCTGCGAGAACCGGTCAATTGTCACGTCGCATTATCTTAAAAGGAGAAAAAGAGACTGAGAACAACGTACCAGTCCAGAACTCAGTCTCCGAGACCTCAGACTCCATTTCCCGTCAGACAGCTCATGCCGGTTTATGTACCGGGTTTGAAGAGTTGGAGAGAGTTGAAGGGCGGGGGCTTGGGAATTCGAGAGTCCCACTGCGGGTCAACCCTAAGGTACACACTACATTACTAGGACTATGTATCAGGTACGTGTTATTATAGAACTTTCATTGGTATCAAAATGTAAAATGCGAAATGCAAAAAAAAAAAAAAAAAATGCAATTATGCAACCGGGCGCAAGAATGGATGCGCTTCGGTATTCCTGTGAGTAAAAAAAAAGAGTCAGTGTTGGTTCAAGCTTGGTTGTTGTTTACGGGCTATGTCAATCACTTACAGAACATATTTATCCAAGTCCACGACAGTAGGGTCGCTGAACAAAAGGTAGAAGTACTTCAACGTCTCAGATAGCCAGAAAGACTCCATAGTATCCTTATGGATCGGCTTCTGGGCTGTGACATCGTGGATGGCCGCGTTAGCCAGCTCCGTTCGAGTATACTTCGAGATGGCTTCGAACATCTGCCACCCCTTGCGTCGCCAGGATTCATCGCCAGTCAGACGGTACATAATAAAGACTGACTCAATCGCCTCGGGCCGAAGGTAGTATTTCGGCGACGGGATACTGGTCATGCCTGCTGGGAGGTGGTCTTTGCCGACTTCGGCGATCTGTGGTGAAGCGGGCGATGAAGTTGAACGAGGTGCATCTCGGTTCTGCAGTCCAGCTTCACCGGGAGTAGGGGTCGGGATTGAAGCAGCAGACGATGCCTCCGCCTTATTTTCTAATGCAAGTCTATCGCGCTTGACCAACACGTCGCTATCGTGGGGGTTTAATGAACCCGGCATGGGGATGGGCACAGACTTGCTCGCGGCTCCTTGAGGTGCATCGTGCGCAATCATATTCACGCGCTGTTCGTAGCTGCTCTCTCCATTGCGGAACGAATGTCCTGCACCGGGGTCTACACGCGAGTAGCGCGCCACGCCAGCCTCAAAGCGGGCTTGATCCCACTCGCAGGCCGACCCTTTCTCACAGGGCAAAAGGCGGAAGCGTTCAGGCATAATTCCGGTCTGTGTCGACTCGTAAGCCCAAACACAACCCTCAGTCAGTTTGGCTGCGAGTTCCAGATCACCATCGATGCCAAAGGCCTTGGCTCCTATGGCGAACATGCCACCGATGAAACATGTCAAGTGAGCGCCTTCGTATTCAAGATCAGTGGGAGTGAGTTCTGCAACTTTTCCAGGTGTTATTGGAGTAGTCAAGGCCATGAAGCGGATATCACGTCCACCTTTCACCATGGGCTGGAAAAGAAGATTGTTGCGGGCCGCAGTGGCTGCCTTTTTATACATATTCAGGTATTGCTCGTTCAGGCCTCCCAGTAGCAGGTATTCCTTGGGCAGGTATTCATATGTCGAGTCGGCCATTCCTCCCATAGTGTACACGTTATCGCGGGGTGAATTGGGAAGTCTCAAGCCGCCATTGCATTGCTCTGCTGATGGTGTGTTTTGTTCGCGGGCGTGAATGCTAGGTTCATTCGCAGCTCGCGTATCGTTGGCAGGTTTGGCATGTCCTTCGATGTCAGCGGTTGTATCGCGTGGGATCAGCTTCAAATAACTCTCAAGGTCTGTCGGTGCAGCGTAAGGCCTGCGGGTTATCGTAGTAGTGCTCTTGGTCGTACTAGCAGCGTGCTGCTCGCGCGTAGGGCTGTTATCACGCGGGGGAGTAGCCTTGGAGTACTTGGAACATCCCTGCGCATTGACCCGTAGAGGCCACAGTCCAGGGATGCTTGTTGAATCTTGGATTTTTTCCAATTGGTTGGTAATCCGTGCAATCGCATCATAGTATTTGTCCCGCTTGGTCAATTGAGCCAAACGGGTAAATTCCAAGGAAAGCGAGCCAATTTCAGCCAGGCCAGCTCGGGAAGACGCTCGATGCGGTTTCGCAACATACTCCCTGGGAAAATTCGGTTAGTCATCCTTAGATGATCAGAGATAGACTGTGGCAAGACTTACGGGGCCCAGCGATAGTAAAGGTGTGGCATGCGGTTAGGTGTGTCAAAGGCACCAATGAGAACCTCAGCAAGCTCCTCTGCTTTCTCCAAAAGTACCGGATATCGATGACCAGAAATGTCATAGGCACCCAAAAGACCTCCAAGATAGCGGATTGTTGTCTCAAACATCGGAATATCTGCTCTCAGTGACGTTTTGAAATCAATGTTTTTGATCAGATCCAAAGCCTCCGAGAATTCATCTTTCAATTGCATAATCCAGAGTGTATCAATGGAATCAACCAATGTCGCTCCCCAACCATTGAATGGGTCTTCAAATTCCTTTGACAGAGGCTTGACTTCGTCATGTCCCATCGAGACCTCCTTATAACCTTTCCAGGCATGCGCGAACTCGGCCTTGATAGTGCTAAGCCGTTGTAGACGTTCTTGCTTGTCGGAGCTCGACTCATCCTTGAACTTCGCTTGCAGCTTGGGGATCGTTTTCGATTGTTCCTTTGGCAGCTTGATCACCTCCTCTGCAGGGACGGGGAAACGTTCCGGGAATTTCTTCCACTTGGCCGTTGGGATGCCAGATTCAGGGCGCTCCGCTGCCTTTCTGCCAGCTCCTCCATTGTCTATCTCCTCCCCATTTGCACTATTGACGTTCTCCGTTGTGGGTGGTGATAAGCTGTCGGTGCTGCCAACCTTCGCCGGTTCCTTCGTGGAGTCCTTTGCGGAGTCCTTCGGGTCATCCTTAATGGGCGTTTTCACCGGAGGAGCGTCGGAAGCATCTTTAAAACGACCGCTATCCTTTGAGCCGCTATTGGGACCCACGGGCGAGAGTATTTTCTCTGGCTGTGGTGGGGAGGTGGAGCCGCGGTAGGGATCGGGAAGCACACGGTTTTTACTCTCCTCGATGGCGGCAGCAGCGGCCGGATCTTCGAATTTGGGGTTCGCGGGTTGATTCGGATGGGCAGGATTGGGTGTATGAACGCCAGTAGACTCTTCAATGACTGTATAGCTCCAATCGCGTGACCTCGCAAAGTGGAAGAATGTGAAGACGACAGCCGCCGCAAATATGACCAGAACTCGGTATCGACGAGCTCGAAACATTGCGAGCGGTCACCGTTCAGGTTGTATTCTTTTTTCTTAGAAAAAAGAAAAGGAAAGGAAGGAGAAAGCAAGAAAAAACAAGGAGATTAGCCAAGTCCAGATGAAATCACGAGACTCCACAAGTAAATAAAAAGGATCCACATGCGAGAGCCTCCGCGTTCTATTTTGGTCTTTCTCTTCTTTGAGATCTTCAGTTTGTTCCTATATGTCTTTACTTTGCGATTTTCCCACTTTCTATCTGTCTTGTCTCGAAAGAAAGTGATCTCTTCCAATGATTTTAACAACCTCAACAATTCCCCAATGCCCTGGAAAACCCGCGGTTCTCAGGCCTCAAGACATAGTGGGGATTTCAGCCCAGACGCCATCTTTTTAGGGCGAATCGCCAGGGCTGTTTCAACGCCGATCATTGGCCCCGGATTCCGGACTGTGACTGAACTAAATACATGCAACCCGCAAGGGTCTTCAAATGAGCCTATCATCAATTGATTCTTCTGCTAGCTCTTATGAAAGCGTTCCTGTCCCAAATGTGCTCCACAGGGCTCATCTCGCTAACCCCTGCATCCTGCAGCTGAGAGGGATACATAACACTCCGTTAAATACTCCGTACGATTACAATTGCATGCCGTGGACCGTTTACAACCATCCTAGCCGGAAAAGATACCCTACATATTCAAAATGCGCAAGTATAATTATCTTGATTCAGCATTGTGAATTGGTAAGCTTACATGTGAATAATGTCCCGAAGTCGGCCCTAGGGCAGGGTCCCTACTAATATATATAAGGCGCTAGATGAAGAACTTCCACGGACCTATATAGCTAATCTTAGAAAAGGCAAAGAGATTTGGTCCTGACTAAATATAGAAGCCATCTGGAGTTCAGCCCCATAGAATACATCAGCCATCCGGGAACATGCCCAATCCGTAAAACGGCCGTAGGTCGTCTAGTAGTCTAGTATAGTTGCAAACAATCCATATCTGACAGCTCAACCCAATTGTATAGACTGGTACTTGATGATCTTTGTTGCAGTTGTGTGATGGGGGTTCGGGCAGACACATCAATGGGTTCTCTATGTACATGCCTACCTCATCCCTTATCCTTCACATTGACTCAACAGCTGTAGTGTATTGAATTACCTCCTCTGACTAGTCTAGAGCGCTAGAGCTAGACTGCCGTTCTATAGAAATCCGAAACGACTTCTCGCTCGCCTGAGTCTCGAATTTCCAGCTGCCAATATATAGTGGACTCGCGAACCAAAAAAAAAAAAAGCCGTTTATCCATCGGGAGCACCACACTCAGATAGACCTTCAAACCCAATGCCATTTCATCCCCAGCCTCTGAAAATAACCAAACAAAGCATTCTTAGGCACATCTCCAGCATGTGCCCTTTGCCATGCAGCTGCAAACGAGCCCTCAATTGGACCCAACTCCCCAAACCCAAGGATTTCAAGAGCCCACGGTGTCAACAAGGCCAGAATACCAAATGCAATCAGCGTAGCGTATACAGGATGTTCCGTTGCAAAGCCAACAGCAGCATTTCTGCTTTGGGCCGCAGCATCAGATGCAGCTTGCGCCATCTCCGCGCCGGATTTGATTGCATTCTCTAAGCCGTGAAAGATAGCCTTTGCTATGGCGTCCGTCCAATTATCGGTGGAAATTTCTTCTTTCAGCTCTTTGTTGAGTAAGTAGGGATCTTCGGCATTGAGAATCTTGGTGACAATAGCGGAAGCGATCGACTCCGGGGACCGGGAATCGGTGGGAGAGCGTGGCTCTTTCGTCGGTCTTCCCGAGATGCAGCCGTAGATGAAGTTGAGCATCTCGTTCCAGAGATGCTGTGAATATTAACGTGACTTATGAGAAAAGCTGGAAAGAAAGGCGCGTCAAGAGTGATAGGTGGAATATGAGGGAAGGGGGAAAGGCGGGAAGGGGGGGTGGGAGAGAAGGAGGGGCACAGAGGTAGGTATATTAGCATGAGAAAGCGTTCGTATAGGTACCCAAGGTATATGGGCGGCAAAATGTATGAGTGCCTGATATGCATGGGTGCATGCGGCCACCCTGTAGATGTTTCTAAATTTACCGATGTATTCAAGACTACTTACTACATCATAATAGATAACTAACGGCATGATGGAGCAAATAAAAGGTTCCCCATGAGATAATAAACTACACATCAAATGGTCATATATCGTGCCTGAAGCATATAAGCTATGATCTTCCTGAAGCCTACCACTATGCTAGAAGTTGCATAGGAGAACAAATATCTAGATCCCCACATTTGTCCGCCTACCTTCAGTATTAGCTTTCTGGAACTGCTGAATTAAACCCAAAACGCCACCCCCGCCAGCGATTGCGTCGATATTTTCGCCTTCATCGCCCTCGGCGGGGTCATCTTCGTCTCTGCTAAGTGGGTTCATGCGCCAAGAATCGCCGAGGTTGCTGTCACTAGTACCTGCACCTGCACTGGAAGTGCCAGTATGAGCACCGGACTGCCGTGTTGCTGAATCGCGGCCATCTTGGGATAGCGGTTCTTCCTCGTCATCGATAGGATCCGTAGACGGGTGCTGGGAACGTCCGAGCCGGGAGCGCTGGTGTTGCTGGAAAGTGGTTCGGGCTGCGGCGCGGAACCCAGTGGTCGATGGTTGGTGGTGCGGGTCAAGGAGCATGGACGGGGCAGGAGAGCGGTGGTCGAATCCTCCAATTTGCCTTAATTTAGAGGCACCTATCATTGATTGAGGGCCGAATGGCACACCGGAGGTCGGCCCAGTGCGTGTCTGGAGATGGTCAAGGCGATCGGGAAGAGCACCGAACTCGCCTGCAGTGGGCGAGCCGAGGGTTGGCAAGGTTGGCGGTGGGTGGAATGGTCGCCGGCTGGTAGGTTGATTGGTAGTACCGTAGTTGTCCAAGAAGCCATAGTACGAAGCTAGCATTTTGCCGTCTTTAGTTGAGAAGTAATCAGTGCGCAGATCTTGTTTGCTAGGATCCCGACGCGCGGGTCCGGCTTGGGAGAGCACATTTGTGCCCTTCTTGAAGTCGAAGACGGCAAAAGAGCAGAGATAGCCTACACCGTCAACGTGCACGGTGAACTCCCGGAAGAAGTCAATGAGGCGGTCACTGCACTTGGGCAAGCTGAACCACAGGACGAAAGGAGTGAAAATCATGCTCAAGATCTCTTCCAAGAATATCACAATCTTCATTTGATAGAGGATTGCGAATTCTTTCCGCACATCATCGCTATGCAAACGTCCCTTCCATCCGGACGGGAAGTAATGTGTAAAATCGATCAGCTCGAGGAGTGCATACTCGGGGTCGAAGACATCAGTCTCTTCAGGTGCCAACCCTCGCGCAAAAGCCCAGACTGTACCGAAAATACCAAGATAGAATAGCACAGTCCGGTCAGGAGTAATCTCAAACCCAAGGAAGAGCTCCGGATCTATCACCGAGGCAAGAGCCAACACTGAGGCAAGAGCCCCAGATATGAAAGCAACGAAACGTGCCACTTGAACGGTCTTATCCTTGGGAAATTGGTCCACATAGCGACTGGCGAATGGATAAGACATGTTGATCCGACGCTCAAAGAGATGCCAAAGCTCATTGAACTCGCGAAATTTCCATTCCGCCATAGGTGTATATTGGCGGGAACCGATTTGGCCCGGATTCTTCTTGAACTCGTTGAAGTACCGGAAGAAGTAGTGCATCATAAAATAGACCACAATAAAGGGCGCTACGAAGATATTCATGACGCCAGCGAAAATAAAGCGCCTACGTAAGCCATCACTCAGCGCTCTTCGATGCGTGTCCTTGAGGAACAGGGTTCGCAGTTGGCCTTGCTCATTAAAGACATAGTCCATGACACAAAGATTGAGATTCCATTCCATGGTTCGGGAGAAGAGTTGTCGATTTTTGAGGAATGGAATAGGGAGAGTGAGGTCCAAAATATCCTTGTTTACCAATGCGATCATGTAGTTCTCCTTGCGCATTAGGCGGTTGGCAATGTCGTGGGCGTCCATTCGCTGCTTTGACTGGCTGCCCAAGAATCTTCGATGTTTGGTAGAAACCGCAGCCGCGGTAGATGGATTAGAGTCTCTCAACGCCATCAGTCGACTGACCACTTCTTGCCAGGAAATCGTCTGGACCTCCGCATCTGAAACACCGAGAAGGTAGAGGTAGAAGTCATGTAGGTGTTTGAGCCTGCGAAGGTCTAGCAGGTATTGAAAAAGCTTCCCAATCCAGAAGAAGCTGAAGAGCCACAACAAAATTGTGGACGAACCGGACATATTTGCTGTGCATTGGGGCACGAGGATATCATCCAGAGTCTTGCTCCGCCGGACCTTAGTGTAATCAATGCAGTTGGTTAAAAATGTAGAGAAACCAACAACGAATGCAAATGTCCTGTGTGCACCGTCAGCTTTTCCTATGGTTCTTTGGAAAGGGGATTATCGTGGACCTACAAGAGGTTCAGCACCCGGGTCAGCAGAATGGACCAAATTCCGTTCCCTAAGAAGTATATGTAGACGTCCTTTAAGAAGTTATCCAGATCCTCGACGTTTGCCCACCGCCACATTGCTTTCTTCTTGGGATCAACATTGGCAAGGCCGGGGTGTTGGCCGGTGAACCATCTCCTTATAGGATGACCACTTTCACTGGGCGGTTGTTGATGAGCCCCTCGTTCATTCCAGCGGACTCCCGTAGGTTGTGAGGATGGCCCGGGACTGGGGATTCTTCGTCGATTCGAACGGTCATGAGATCGGGGAGGAGGAGGCAACTGTGATTTCGGGTCTTCGTGATGACCTTCTACCAGAAGAGATTGAGGGACATCTTCATCATGATCATCAAGCTCATAGCCGAGTGGCGATTCTTGTGCCATCCATCGAGGCCGGGACGACTTGCGACGACGGGTGCCAGACAGAGAAGCTCGCTCTTCAGGTGCCTTGCCCGACCGTGCTTGGCCGAGCAATGCAGTGGTGGGGCTGATTATTTCACTATCCTGCGCATCAGCTAGTGCATCCTCCAGTTCCCGGTCACTAAATTGTCCCTGCTGGTCGTCTATGACCAAACCGGCACGTTCTTCGAGATCAGAGTATTCGGACCCGGCGTCATGTTGGCGAATGGTCTCGTAGACCGATGGTGAGCCCGTTGGTGGTAGGAACCGTGATAATATGTTAGAGGACATCATTTTGGATCAGACTGAAGGCTATAGTCAGACCACTCATGGCAACAGCTTCAGAAGCCAGTGATAGTGGTGATGAAATGCCATCCAGCGGTGTTTGATAATGCGGAGAAATGGGGATCACTATCAATACAGGAGGCCGAACGTTATCGGGTTGAAAATGGGTATGTCCCTGATTAAGGTGACTGTACTAGCTTATAAAGAGGTATGCATCTGACCTAGTCCTCGTGATAACAGTCACCAGGAGCTGTGATCATTCCCAGGTTCCTCAAACCTCCCGATAGCTATGATGACATAAAGAAGGGGGGAAATGGGCTTGCAGCCTCAGGCAGCCATCAAAAGTCATGTGCGTGGTGGCACGTATCACATGATATATTCCTTATCGCCTTATCTTATCTCCACCGGTGGCATCCATGGATGAGCCTCGGGATGGTTAGCGGGGTATATAAATACGTCCACAATATATGTTCCCGTGCTTGTCAAGTAACCTAATACCCGAAAGGGGGTTGGGCTACTTAGCAAGGACTAAAAACATATATACTAAATTTTTACCACTGCCACTGTAGCCAATTCAATCATCGATTCCCTCGGTTTTGCCGAGAATGGATCCCTTTTGCAAAACTTCCAGCGGAAATCATTTTGTCGATTCTCGAATCCTGCTGCAACTTTACCAGTTAGACAGTCTGCAACAAATATCTCCCGAGTGAAGCAGGTATTTAATACCTCTTACAAGACTGTCACCGAACATGCCCTGAAGAACTGTTCCTTCACCTCGGAGGGGCTCCACAATGAATTCACGCTAGCCACTGTTGCTTCTACAACATTCACCCCTACAGCCATGCTTGAACGGCTCGATAGCTTTTTAGGGAAGATCGTGTGGCCTGTTTCCATTTCCACCATCAACTCACTAAATGCGGAACGCCAGATTGTGAGTACAGCGGTAAAAGTCCATCTTACTGCCTGCGTTTGTCTTTAGCATTTTTTGACTCGTCTCGAGTCGGCAAACCTCCACCGTCCAATTGCTTCTCCGGACGACGTTTTCGAATGGCTGCCTAGAAGGCTTCCACAACTCAATAGTGAAATATACCAATTTAGAATCGATTCACCATCATGGATCGAGTCTTATCGGATGCATCACGGCCTCTGGAATTTAGAGCTCTTCGGCCACATCTATATTGCGGCATCAACACGCTGGTCATGGTCGATCTATGTTCCATTGAGCCAACTATTCTCAATCGTCGATTTTAATTCCTTATTACCATTCCGTCGCCAAGCGATTTGGCGCTACAAACATGCTGGTCTTTGTCAGTGATTCCCACCGATACTCAAGTTAATAGCACATGGAGTCGGCTTCGATGTTTGGCTAAGAGAAGAAATAACGTGCTCAATTTTTACAATACGGCGCTTCGTGGCGGAGCGAAGGGTCCTCCTAACCCTCTGGGAAGTAGATTTCCAAGCATTTCGGCGAGTTGGCATACCTCTCTGGGACAAGTGGCGATTGTACCAGATGAGACTTATGGACCTATCTCGCAGTGTGCTCTTACCGGAGGGCAATTTAGTTGGCGGGGAGGCAGATTGCACCGAATGGCCACGGTGAGTATTATCTATACATGGTGTAGTCTAGCAGAGGATGATGATGTGCTTCTAGATTTTAGAAAATAAATCCGAGCATATTTAGAGGGACTTTCGAGATCAATTAACAATGCGCAGTGGAGTCCCATCATAGACTACCCCCACAGGACAGACGACTTCCCTCTTTGCTGTAAGATCCTCACATTGATCGAAACACCCAAGACGAATTGCTAAGATCGGCCAGATCGTGAGCTTCCGAGATGATTTCTGCCTCTGACCAAACACCGGACCCGGGACACATCTTGGGAAATCGAAGTCCCTCTCTTTTGCACTTGTTAGCCACAAGTGCACAACCGTATCTGTGTGTATGTAATGCACTTACTCATTGGTCCAATCGATTGCCACCAAAGGAGCGTACGTTTTGATGTTGCTTTTCTTGATAGTCCGCAGAACTTCTAGCGCTGCCACGACGGCCAGAACTCCATCGAATCGTCCTTCTAGTGAAGTAAACAAGAGTTAAATCCGGTGGTAAATTGAGAACAAGGGAATAACGAACCGGCTGGCTGTGTATCCAAGTGGCTACCCATTCCAATAGGGGCAATGGAATTATTTTGACCTGGTAAGATGGCAAATATATTGCCCATCTCATCCACTTTCACCTCGCACCCTAAGGTCTTTGCCTCCGAGACAAATCAGCCCCGCACGCCACGATCTGAGTCAGTTAGGGATTCGCGACGAAGTCCAATATGGCCGTCTTGTTCCAGCCGTCCCCATTTAGAAGAATGCTGGACTGAAAACCAGGCGGACGGTTGGGTGGACTGCATGCTGCTCGGTGACTGGGAAGAAGGTCGTGAGTTCGCAAAGAGAAGAATGCAGTACTATCAAGCAAGAAATAGTTTTGAATTTATTGAGGATAGTTCATTTCTAGAGATAAGAATGGCCCTAAGCGATGACAAGCAGAGTGCAACGTTGGGGAACAGGGAGGCTACCGGACGCGCACTAATATAGTTGGCTGTATCGCCTATGGATTCCCTGGCCGTGATTACCGATTAGGGGTTCCCCGACACATCGGGACAGGGAGGCCGGCGGGGGGAAGATTGCCGCCTTACCACAGCTAGCTACATTCTCTGGGTTACTGACACCAGTATATGAGATCAAATATGAATGATAGGCATCCATGACCTTGAAGGTAGGATCAAGATCATAGATAAGCTGTTTCGAGTTTGATCAACCTAAAGGAGCACGCGGAATAGAAGCAAACCTCCAAAGACACAAAGAGAAATTTTGTTAGGGAAAGGCAAAGGGATTTATTCGGTAGAGTTAGGGAGATAATCATTGATATATCCTTGGTGCACAGGTTCAAAACTTGAGAGGTAATCTTCAATCAGATGTCACTACAAATTGATGTTCTGTGCTATCAGTATGTTTTTTGCTGAATCCCCATTTTGCTGATGATGAACTTGCCCAAATACATCTTCACAGCCTCGAGTCCAGCAACACTCAATTCGGCCGCAAACCACAGGTGTCCATCTAGTCGCAAGACAAGGGATCCATACCGCAGATTAACCCCATATCGAGAGTGAGCTTGCCTCTTGTCATCCATATAAACTGTGCCGAATGCTGGTACTCCCAGTCCCTCTTCAGCGCTTAGTTTTGGATCAGCAGAAACGATAGTATCTAGCTTCGCCGTATCCGAGAAAAAAGATCTGAAATGCCCAGCGCTGTTCAAGGTAGTAGAGACCGCAGTAAGCTGCGGTAGCGTCATTCGAGCATCACCCGCAAATGTAACAATGTAGAAGCAGGAGCGGACTGTAAACGGATTGATTGGATAACCCCCGGCTTGAAAAGGCCAGCGTCTGGTGCGCGAGCACCAACGCAGATTGAGGTATAATCTTTAGCGGGTACCACGTTGACCAAGTTAGGCTCATATGCTATCTTCAGGCCGGTGTTGTATCCCTGAGCTTCATCAAAGAGATCCGCCAGTGCTGCATTGATGTCCTCATACGAGACTTTATGCATGTCTTCGGGCCATTTATTTGGCATTAACGTGGAAAATTTACGGTCAAAGGCAATCAAGCCTTGGGCTGCGGCGCGTCGCTCTATGCTGTAGGTCTCGAGTAAGGTAGGTTTAGCCTTCCCTTTCACGACCAATGCGAGCTTCCAGCCAATATTGACAGCGTCATGAATTCCGGTGTTGAGCTCCTGTGCAGCACCAGAATATTGGGTATGACTGTTCCATAAATACTCAGTATTGTACCAATTAAATACATCTTACGCGAGGGGAGTCTCACCATTCATCACCGACAAGGATGATGTGAGAATGTGGCTAGTACGTCGATGCCACCGACTGCCCGATCACATATCTACTTATTGTCAATAACGATATTCCTTGCTAGGAAAGCAATCATGGAATCAACCGAACTTACAATGTCCACCAATCAATATTTTCGAATTCTACATGGAAGGGCTACATTGCTGCAACTGCCTCTCGCAACACTACCTCTTCTGTCAGATTGCCGTTGCATCTGCGCTCTTGTTCCTCGGTGAAGACAAAGCCAATACGAGTCGCACCATGATCAAGAGGTTCCCAGAGGACATTGCCGTGGTTTGCGCTTTGAATGGATCTGTACTTATTAGCAGCTCCTCTCTCAGCTACAAGTTCTTTGCAACTTACCCATAATTTCTCGGAGTGGGAAGGTTGGTTATGACTCTGCCGTCAACTCGAATCCATTTGTCTTGGGTTGTATTCCCCTCAAATTCTACGCCGAGATGCCTGCGGACGAAGCTTCTTCCTCCATCGGCGCCCATCAAGTATGCACTCTTATCCAGTTAGCTATCCATGAACAAGAGATGATTATTGCGACATGCGAACCTCTTGACTGTATATTCTTCTCTGGTGGTCATATCCCGCAAAGTCGCAGTAATATAATAGCCATCTGCGTCTGGCTCATCGGTCTTTTCGATGTTCACGCACTTACAAGGAGAGTGCAGCTTAACACCTGCTGCCTCCAAACGGATCCGAATAGTCTTCTCAATGAATTGTTGCCTCGGCATGATACCAAAGTCGAAGCTGATATAGTGAGTCAATAATAGCAAGACAGAACCAGGACCGATTTATTTACCTAGTGTCTTCGATATTTTCTACAAAGTCCCAAACCCGCCCTGGATTGATGCGATCCCCGTTCTCACCATATGTATAGCTCTGGCGAACAATATAGCATTGTTGCATGATATCATCTGCTAAACCGAGCTGATCGAGAAACTCAGCAGATCGTGATTACAGTGCATTTGCACGTCCGTATAGAGTAATGGTAAATTTAGACTCCTTGTCCACGATATGGATGGAATACCCAGCTTGTGCTAGCTGGTATGCTGTGAGAAGGCCGGTAGGCCCCCCTCCAACAACCAGAACATCGACAGAGAGTGATCGGTTCATTTTGACTTGACAGTAACACAATCCACAGGTCTCTTTTTTTTTTTCGAAAAGTAATTGGCTATAGTGCAGATAGCTCCATTATTGGTTATAAAACGTCCATGGATATCCTCCCCGCCCAGACAAGCATCAGCTTATCTCTCGGGCCGTCCGCCGACTTTCCGGGTAAAAATTGTAAACTCCCGAATCGATTAGGATGTGGAGGAGATGGAGTGTATACCTTTCTTGGTTATCTCAGTGTCTTGAATATTGGCGGTGACCTAATCCAGTTGCAGTGGTTGGGAATCCATTTTCGGTTTCTCTATCGTATACATGTACTTGCCTCCATCTCCCGTACTTCACCGAAAAGGGTTTAGGACGGTGGCTCAAGAACTGAATTCGCTTTTACTGATTGTTACTTAACTGTACTGAATCTCTCGTAATTCTAAGGATCATAATTCTTGACTATCACTTTCACACAAGTCAATATGCCTGGAGATATCCCCGTTTGGGTTGACTGCGATCCTGGTTCGTCCCCATTCCACTCCTTGTCCGCAAGATCAAATGGAAAGAAGAATTTGGCAATGGTAATAAGAGCCAACGACAATAAGACATATTGGCTGTTTGTAGATAGTGGTCTTAAAATCAAGGATAAGACTCCCTAGGGAACTACTAGAGAAGCATAAACTATTCAAAATCCATTCAAGATTCATTGTATCGAGACAAGACAAAGTAGCCTTCCACGCCCATCGTAAGAATTGCTCGAACGGAAAAAGCGAGTTTACTTCTTCAGGTGCAGGTACTGTGGGTTACAAAATGCCAATAGCCCTCCCATTCCAGCTTCCAACCCAATACCACTCTCCTTGTGACCACCGTACGGAACGGCTGGTTGCAACGCGTAATGCGTGTTCACCCATACGGACCCAGCTTCGATATTGCGTGCAATTCGGCCGGCTTGGTCAAGGTCTCTTGACCAGACTGAGGCCCCAAGACCCATCCGGGTGTCATTGGCACGAGAAATAACATCATCTTCGTTGGTCCAAGTCATCAAGGGTACTATCGGACCGAAAGGCTCCTCTTGCACGATTCTGCTATCATCCGGAGGATTATCGATCAAGGTAGGAGTCATGAAGTAACCAGAAGACCTGTCGATGTTCTTGCCACCAGTTGCGACAGACCAATTTTCTTTCTCGATATCGTCCAAAAACCCTTGAACCCGGTCGAACTGCATTTTGTTCTGAACTGGGCCCAGGAACACACCCTCGTCGACCCCGTTTCCAATCTTGTATGTATTCATAAATCGGACCATCGCATCTCGGAATGCTTCATAAATGGACTCGTGGACATAAATGCGCTTGATGGCAAGGCAGATCTGACCGGAATTCAGGAAGCAGAAGTGTGCAACCTAACAGAAATCATTACTTATCAATTTAATACGTCAAAATTCATGACAATGAGATATGCTCACCCTTTCCGCCGTTTCATCAATGTCAACGTCCGAACAGATGATGGCTGGGTCATTGCCACCACATTCCAAGGTAACACGCTTCATGGTCGCAGCCGCGACCTGCAGGATCTTTTTACCCGTGGCTGTCGATCCTGTGAAAGAAATCTTCTCCGGGATGGGGTGCGCGGTTAGCCATGGCCCCAAGTTGTCGTCGCCACTCAGCGCTTGGACGACACCCGGTGGGAAGCATTCTTGCGCCAACTCAGCCAGCTTTAGACCACAATAAGGTGTAAATGGCGAAGGCTTGATGATGATGGTATTTCCTGCCAGTGTCGCAGGAGCCAGTTTGATGCAAGCGAGGAGGAGAGGAAAGTTCCATGGGACGATGCCAACGGAGACGCCCAGTGGTGTATACCGGCACACTATACGCGTTTCATCGTCTTCCTGTACGACCTCTTCTTTCAGTTCTAGATCGGCAAAGGCCTGCATGCATTCGATGGCCTTTTCGTATTCTACCGTTGCGAACTTGAGCGGCTTTCCTTGCTCTTTTGTTAAGAGCGCGATGAATTTGCACAGACATGCCTTGCGAAATTCGTAGGAGCTTTTGCGCCAAGATGTGAACGCGGCTTGTGCCGCATCCATTGCAGTATTCACATCCTGCGGTGTGGAAATGGGCACCAGCTCATTGGGCTCACCAATAGCCGGATTGATAGCATATCTAGTGAGCTCAGTGCTCACCAAGTTTCCATTGATCGAGTTTTGATAGTTGTGAAAGAGGTCAACCTTTGCGGTGTGTTCCGTAACCTCTGTAATGGAGGACATGTTCACGAAATCAGATCAAGTGGACGGTTATAGTGAAATTATAGCCTTGTTTAGTATGCTAAGTCGGAGAGGATGCGAATATCTATTTTGAGAAAGCTATCTTACATAAACTAGGGGAAACGGTAGTTTCCCGCTTCGGCTTAGTACGACTCTTCGAGGGATGGCGATTGTTCGGGGGAGGTCCCGCTTGAGCGACGCCGATGGCACCCGTTTCGCCGACACCTGAGCATTCATGGATGAGTGGCCATGTGTATCTGTCCGAATGCCACTCTTACGCTGGAAAGTGTGAGTAGTTTTGCAATCATCTCTGTGATCTCATCATTTATTGTGAAGTTGTAATTTACAATGGAGAAAACGAAGCCCCTCACTCGTCCCCCCCCACCATCCAACCCCATTTCACCGTATCATGCAAATAAACCCCATTTCTCAAATTGACAGTTCTACTCTAGACCACCAGGATTCCCCACCTCAATTTGTATATAAACCTCTCCACGTTCACTTATTTCCTGGCCCAACCGCAATCAGCCTAGTCAGTTAAATCCAGAACGATGCGACCTTTTAATTGTCGCTTGTTCATCTTGTCAAAGATATCCATGAGGGTTGACATCGGCTGCACGGTGACCCGAGTCGTTACCACTCCACGAGCGGCCATCTCCATGGTCTCAATAGCGTCCATACGGTTTCCAACCACGCTCCCCACAATACTGATTTCCTGGCTGATAAGCGTAGCGGGATCCGCGGAGGCAATCGCAACTGGAGCGCCTTCGGGGACTCCAACACAAACAACGGTGCCCCCATATCGTACAAAAGATACGGCAATAGTGTAGGCTTCATTGGCACCAGTGCATACGATGACGGCAGCGGCGCCGATCCCGTGAGGGGTAACCTTTTTGACATCGACAGTGAGTTGAGGATCCTTGCTGTCATACTTGGAGACATCGATGTAGGATTCAGCCCCACATTCTTCTGCGAATTCTTTCTTGTCACCGTAGTCGATAGCCTTAATCACAAGTTAGAGGTTAGTCTTGTTTTGCTGTCAATATGACATTGAGGGCATTACAATCATTCGGAACCCCATACCGCGCCCTCCCATTTGGAGGGCTAAATGACCGAGACCCCCTGTTCCTCCCATAATAACAACTGCGTCATCCTGGAATATCATTAGCCGAGCTTATTGCATTTCTCCTAAGCGTGACAAAAAATGTAGTGTTTACTCACTGGCTTCGCACCGCATTTCTTCAACGCGGCATAAACGGTGATTCCCCCGCAAAGCATCGGTGCCGCCAGTTCACTTGTGAGCTCATCAGGGATGCGAGTAACGTAGTTTGCAGGCGCAAGTGCATATTGCTGGAAAGTTCCAGGCTCGCCATATCCAGATATTGTCCCGTTCGAACAGCAGCCATCGCGGCCAGCTACGCAAGGGAAGCAGCTCCCACATACACGAGCCATCCACTTGATGCCTACGCGGTCTCCAAGCTTCAACCCAAATTGTTCAGTGTTTGGGCCAAATGCCACAATATCCCCAACGCCTTCGTGTCCTCCGATCTGTCCAGATTGGGCTGGAGGGCCGACGTCTCCTTCTCTGCGGGTCATCACACTCCAATCACTGTGGCAGACGCCCGAGTGTGTAATACGCACAAGGACATCACCATTTCCAGGTTGCGGTGTGTCGACTGTGAGATATTGGATACTAGCTGTCCCTGGCTTGTCATAGGTGATTGCCTTGTGCTGGGATGGAACTTGAGAAGTCATCTTGCAATGATGGAAGTGAGGTCGGCCGCGGTACGTGAGGCACTGAATGCCTAAATGGTTCTGATAGAAAATAGAGAACAAATTCTTGAGACACGAGTGGGATTATATTGTTCTATTACCCCGCTTCCCTTGGATGTATGGACATGAGACTTCGGCGAACTACCGGTAAAATTATCTACCACCCTATCTGGTCGACCCCCGATCCTATAGTAACAATCTATCCTCAGTCAACTGAGATGGTTACGATCAGGTCTTTACGCCAGATCGGTATGCTCGAATCGGGCGATAAGAGCGCCAGTTGAGATTTTTGGATTGTATAAATGAAATTTATTGCTTTCAGTTTTGTAAAATTCTAATTCGCTATTTTATCTGATCTATTCAATCTTCAACTCGCCAGATCCCTCAAAATGACCAGACGCATCCTCCTGGGGTTCCTCACCCCTCCAACACCAGTCTAGAGCCTTTTTTGCAAAGAATTACCTCCCAACTCCTTGATGTTACAAGTTACTTCTCTCGATTTGCCGTCTCTGATATCAGTCTTGATCAAAATTCCCCGCAACAGTTCCAAAGTAAAACGATCCTTCCCGCTGCCAAACTCTTAGTCGACGTGGGCGTCGATATCATTGGTTAGACGGGCACTTCTCGGCTTTGAAATCGACTCGGTCTTGTGCCAATCTATCACAGCCGCAACAGGCATTCCAGCTACCACGTCTGTGTTAGCTTTGAACAAAGCTTTGAAAAGGCTCTCTATCACAGAACTAGGACTGGTGTCACCGTACACGGACAACGTCCAGTCTGCTATCGTTAGAACATATGCACTTATAGGGTTGACTGCAGCAAAGAGAGTCATCTTGGATTGTCGAAGAATAGAACTTTCGTCAAGGTAGAGGAGCCCACACTCGACATGATGGTGGGAGATGTGGCGAGTCAAAGTTGCAGGCAATAACAAATTTCTGTACGAACTTGCGTGACGCACAGAGAGTGGACTATTGGGAGCAGAAGTTTGACATTATAGTTCTCGACATCATTTCCACTGTCGTTTGGCATGTGTTGGGAATGAGCGGAGTAGACTCAACGCGTGTGAAGAGATGGGGGAAATTGTTCGAACAGTGATGATTTATATCGGAGCGAGGTGGTCTGGAGAATTATTCAAACTCAAAGGCTCATTGATTTTCATGTCGTTCTTCTCAATCATGTTCCTAGCAAACAAGAAAATGCTTGGAGAATCTAGAATTTTCCATGCGAAGCAGACCAAAACGCCCCTTAATTGGGGGAAGATAAGGCATGGATCTGTAGAGTATCCAGTATAAAAAATTAATAACCTTGGCTTTTTCTAGTCGATCCATCTGGTCTCTATTCCATTTATCCTTTAACCAAGAGCAAATATTTTAAATGACTGCCACACGCTTGTTCACAACTGAGCAATGCATTGCGGAAAACATCCCGCTGTCTGCTGGATACCGTGACTTCGAAGGCTACAAGGGCAAATTTCCAGACCCCCAATGGACCGGCAATGCGAAGCTTTGTGTCAACATTGTGTTGAATCATGAGGAGGGGGGCGAGTACAGGTCAGTCGTGAACGAACAACCGCCACAAAAGCCAAGTCGCGATTAACAAAAGAATTCGCCAGTGTGATTAATGGGGATATGCGATTGGAAACGGACCTCCAAGAGGTAAGCCTAACTGCCATAAATCATACACACCAAAGCTATTCTACGGCCGCTGACCTGAACTAGATTATGGGCCGACACGTGCACATCGGTCAGCGCGATATACAGAAGGAAACGCAGGATGAGTATGGTACGCGGGTTGGGCGTCTGGCGAGTGGCGCACTTCCTTGAACAGCGCAAGATCAAGGCGACAGTGTATACGGTAGGACAGTCGATCCTAAAGTCTCCCGATGCAGCACGGTATCTAGTGGGGAGGGGACATGAGATATCTTCTCATAGGTATCGCTGGATTAATCACCATGCCTTGCCACTGGCAGTTGAAAAGGAGCAAATTGAGAAGAATATCGAGGCCAGCCGTGAGATCTCCGGCCAGCCACCGCGGGGATGGTATGTGAGTCGCCCGTCCATATCCAGCAAGGGATTGGTGTGCCATGTGTTTGAGCAGCAGGGGCTCGAGCTACTATACCAATGTGATTCGTACTCGGATGAGCTGCCTTACTGGACAGCGCATCCCTTGGACCTAGTAAGAGACTGCTGATGATCCCCTATATGTACGACGTCTACGACAACAAGTTTACTACATCGCCAGGCTTCACCAGTCCCCGTGACTGGTTGAAATATTGCAAGGCCGCATTTGATGTGTGTTGTACGAAGAGGGCTGCAATGGCGAGCCCAAGATAATGACTATCGGCCTCCACAGCCGGCTTGTTGGTCTGCCTGCACGCTTTCAAGCACTACGCGAGCTTGTTAACTACATACAAGGTCACGAGGGTGTGTGGTTTGCTACTCGCGAAGAAATTGCTCGGCATTGGATCAAGACACATCCATTCAAGGAGAGCGAATTGAATCGGATTCCACACTTTTATTGCAAGCTAAATAGTGAAGCGAGACAAATAGAGATCAATTGAAGTCAATTTTATGATATGGGGTCGAACTAGGAATATGGCCCCCTTTTGGCCCTAAACAGGAACTAGGTTTTTGTTATAGTCTAGTGGTAAATTAGCTGTATTATTTCCCCAATATGGCTTCAAAACACATATAGCGACGGAGGAGCTGGCCTTGCTGACCGCAAATAATCTGGAAAATTCTAGCTGTACACGACTTTAAACGACTGGTGTATACACTCTTCTATAAACCGTCTACCACACTTCTAACCTTCATCTTCACACATAGCCTATCCATCGCCATATCAAGAGTACTTAGGGCATGATACTCCGCAACCACACCTTTCTAAATTCTTGAGACTACAACATGCAAGACCAAATGCAGAAGGGAGGGGGTTATATTAGAAAGGAAGCAAAGATCCCGGGGTTTTATGCCTGAGCGACCCCACTGGTGGCCTAAGACCATACCACAAATAGAGATTGCATCGTCAGCGAGTACGCATTTAGTTAATCATATACCCCCCATCGGCCACCATGGAGGCACCCTGCACAAGACTCGCCTTGCTGCTACACAAAAACAAGCACACGTCTGCAATCTCCGATGGCTGACCCATCCGGTTTATCGGTGCGATGGCGATAGCGGGTGCAAAAAACTTGCGTTGCTCCTCTGAGCCTCCGGTCATGGGTGTCCTAGGGAGGCGTGCGTTGGAATGGTGAACCCACCGAAAGAGACAGGAAGCAGAGAGAACATGTACTCAACCAGGCCAGGGCATACGCAGTTGATACGGATATTTTCCTTGGAGTACTAAATCCATTAGCAAGGGCAGCGGATTCAACAGACAGAGGACAGCCAAACATCAATGCCTGCGCGTGAGCGATATCACGGCGGATTTACTGGCACAGTAGGCCGTTAAAGAATATAATTAGTCCATCTCATCACATGGCCAACTCTAGGGAACCCCCACGCGCAGTCGATCGCGATGCAACGCCCAGCTGACTAGCAATGTGAACGATGGCACCACGGTTGCCAGGCCGACTGTCATGGGATGGCAGTAGGCTCTGCGTTAACATTTGGGCCAGCTTAGCACGCGCGCACAGCCATAGACCACGATAATTGACGTTTTTGAATCCCATCGAACTCATCAAGAGTGAGCGCTGTTGAGCGCTGCGCCGGGCCCTGTATTCCCGCAACGTTGACAGTGAGGTCAATACGTCCCCAGCGTGCCACGGTGCACACTGCCATGGCTATTACTGACTCGAGCTGTGCGACGTCGATCACGATCGTCTCGACCGCTGCATTTGGGGCTTCTTTGGCAATCAATTCCTGCGTTTGCGCCAACCCTTCGGCTAACCGGTCGGCTATGGTGATTCCTTGGTATCCAGCGGTGGCAAATGCGAGAGCAATGGCTCGGCCAATGCCTAGTCATGTCAGCATGTATCTTTTTTACACACTATAGTCGGAGAAAATATGATAAAGGGCAGCAGAGGGAGGGCACACACCAGACGCGGCACCAGTAGTTATGGCAACCCCCGGGAAAAGCGTCATTATGCAATAGGATACAATCAACCTTGGGATACATACCAATTTGCCCGACTAACCCTCCTTATAACTATAAAATTCACTACTAGCCCAGTTAGATCGCCTAATGGGCCTTATATCCATGCCGGAGAGGATGTCCGATAGGATAGAATGCCGATCTTATCGGCCCAGTAGATCTGCCCCTGTCCGATCGCCGATACAATCTAGCTTCAGCCGGATGGCAATGCGTTGCGGGAGGCACTCATCAAATGAGTGCCAACATTCAACCACCTTAGCTTTGCATATCCTAATATACTTTCCCTCCTCAGCTGAATCTCCTTATTACAATCTTTAATCGCCCGAATAGCTAGTGAAACTTGTCCCAATGCCTTTGCCAACAGCTGTTTGACTCTGCCGTTAGGATGGGTGGTCATACTGATAAAGCCAGGCTTTTCGTGATGGGACGATAGTGGCCATCTAAGATAGGAGGATTACATGCGATGGGACTAGCGTGTTGCATTTTCCAATGCTAGTGATGCAGCTGACTTAGAATGTTCATACGTATGTAGTACCTATGTGGGTAACTAGGCTCAGCTCGAACTTGATAAGCAGCCCTGGCGTTTAAGGGCGTGCTCAGTTGTACTCAGTGAGAAAAAAGCGGCGAGGAGTAAGCACTAAAACGGAAAGGGAAAGCCAAGGCTTGTCATGTGATCTGGAATCATCTGTGTGGTCATGTGTGGGTACCCGTAGAATATGCATTTTGAAATTGCGAATTGGTACTTGTACGATTGCTATGCTATATTGTATTGATCATGTTATATATTTTTGTGTTTGGTTTCTGCAAGACCAGTGTGCTTATTTTCACACCTACCATCCCTCCACAGCTCTGAACTGAGTCCTGTGTGACTCCAGTATATCATTCCGGCTGAAAGATCTCATTTCCTCAACACTGCAGACTAACATGAGGCTCCACTGTCGGGGATTTCCCTTGGTCTGTGTTAGTAGAGATATCCCGACCACAAAATTGTATGGAGTAAATCATAGGTACCTACATACTCCGTACTCCCGTCAAAATGCTTGCCTAGGTGCATCCTGTACTCCGTACCCACTTCCGGTTAGGGCTAGGATCTGCGCCCCAGATCCCACGTTGGGATTGTTTTGCATATTGCAGATAGCAGGCCATATGAAAACGACTCTGTATAGAAGTACGGAGTAAGTGCAAGTGAATGTAGAAGGTGGGAATCCTCAGGAGCCTTGAATACATAGAATGATATGCAATAGAGAGAAAAGAAATCGATAATCGACATGTATCTCAAGCGTGAACCTCATGACTCAAGATTAGTGGTCCGATTACCACTAGCCCAGTAGTCCACTAGCCAGTGCGAGTCAGTAAAAAGACGCCATGCAGTCATGTCGACTTCTAGAATCTTTCGGCACTTTACTATTTTCGGGAATCCGAATGGAAGGGGAGACATGCACGCTAGTGGCTTGGGGAAAGCTATTGATCTAGGGTCAAGCCCAGCTCAAACCCGCTGGTTACTTCTTCCCTTGCCCCGGTGATATTATACAATATAAACTCGGTATCTTCGGTTAAAGGCTGAAAGTTAAAAGGTTGAGACCTGGGTCTACATAAAGTATATCTAGGTAAATACATAGTCTAACCTCACTTGCTTTAGGGATTGCATTAGGGAAGATTGAGATGTATGTAGATGGAACTTGGTGATCCCATGTTGCGCTGTCATCAAAGTAGCCTAAAACAGGGTAGTATGTAAGTAAAAAAGTGAAGAGATATAACCAATAGTAGAACTTGAAAGCTCAAGAGATTTGAGATAGGTGAAAAAGGGCCAGAAAGTGTTGCCCATTCCTCGTTATTTCGTTATTCGTTATTTTTCCCCTATACAAACTCAGCTCCGTTATCCACTTCTTTCTCTCTCCCCTCCCCCTCCCCTCTCTCTCTCTCTCTCTTCCTCTCTGTCATTTGGATGATCTTCATCCGATCCTCCCATTACGATTTCAACTTGATTCTTCTTTTCTGGGAAAATATTTATCTTTGAAATCCTCCCCCCTCATTCTGCCCCAATCCCAAAGCGGCCTGCATTTGCTAGAATCCGCGAAAACACATATACCCACAAACACCTCTCATAGAGAGTATAACCAAAACCTCCCCAATTTTAAAAGGGACTGATGAAGGTATGTGCGCATCTCTTTACTATACCCTATCCTAAACACCCCCTCCCCCTCCCTCCAATAATAATGATATCACGCCCGTTTCAACCACCAATTTCCCTCGGGTCGCTTATTCAGACCATCACTGACACTGGCAGCGACACTATCGCTATCGACTGGCCGGAGGATTGGACGCTCACCGAATTCGCTAGGTACTCCTGGATCTCTCAGACAAACGACGGTGACCCGCGCCTCCTTTGTCCTGGTCTCATTGCTTCCCCTCTCCCGGCGCCTCGACCGAATGTGCGACCTCAATACCCAACGTCTCACCGGACTCCATGTGGTCTCATAACAATTTCCTGGACAAAAGTGACCCCCAATTATACAAGCGCAGTCGTGCTGCATACGTCGGGTGCTAACAAGGACTTCTCACCGGTTGTGTTGAGGGAGGTTTGTACTGGGCGCGATTAGGAAGTGAGCCTGTTTCTCCTTTCCTCATATATTGACGGGTTTCATTTTCGTTCTATGTACATCGCCTGTCAAAGGGGCTGTCTATTACCAAACGAGATGGAGCCCGAGAATTCGAACGCGTTCAAGCGAAGCTCAATGCACCAAGCGTTATACAGTGGTCCAGTGGAACGGCGTTCAAGCAAGAAGTCTTCATCTAGGGACCGGCATGGTATGGTCTACCCCGACAGTTTCCGAGAAACTACCATTCGAACTGTGACGCCCGAGCCGCACTCCTCCGCCAACCATTCCCCTTTATCCGAACCGGAACACCTCACGGGCGGCACTTTGTCTTCACCTCGAAACATCGTGCGATCACGACCCATCGAACCCGAACGTCGTCGGGATTTTAACAAACACTCATCTGGAGCAGGCGAAGAAGATCCTCCGGTGGAAGCAAGGAGTCAACGGGCGCGATCGCGGACAACGGCAGCTGAGGAGCAACGCAACGACATCGCCCCCAGCACCTTCAAAGCTCGAACGCGGGTTGGGTCAATTAACACGGCCAGTCCATCTCAACCAAAATTGCCTGCGCCTCAACCAAAATTACCTGAAGATCCGTCATCTTCCATTGGGTTTCCGTCAATTGAGTCCCCAAAATACAGCAGCCAGACCGTTCCTCGCCATCGAATGAGCAAAGCTGTTGGTCTAGTCACCGGCGGAGCACAAAATCGAGATTCGTTTGCCTCACCCCTCTCTGGTGCGGAAGCTACAAAAATCCTGCAGTTGATGAAGACTACTTGCGGTAGAATGCATGGAATCCTATCATTTCGAACAGCCTCGACCACTTCCTGGACATCCGGATACTGCGCTATCAATGTCGCTACTGGAAGTCTCATTTACCAAGCCAAGGGAGAGCCGGCATTGGCCAAAACTTTAATTCCCGATCTACGGGGGTGTCGAGTCCGGACAATGTGGGACTCTGAGCTCCAATGCACCTATCTAAGCGTTTACACATTTACCTCTGGTCTTGGGATACAACTACGACCTCACGTAAACGAAACCTTCGATTCCTGGCTTGCGGCTCTACTTTGTTGGCAACCAATTCGGCCCAAGGGTGTTCAGAACAAGATGACAAAGCCTCAAGAGGTTGTGATTGGAGACCGACGGATCCCCGAACGTCGACGCAACTCGGAAAGTGCAGTACACAAGGATGCAACTATCATCAAAGTTGGCAAGATGCTTTTATGGGACAAGCCGTCTGCTTCCGGTGCAATGCCGGTGTCCGGACGCCGCGTGTCCACGTACAGACAATCAAGGGCTCTTTCTTCCTCGTGGCAGAAGGTGAGCTGCACACTACAAGAAAACGGCTTTTTCAAGCTCTACACAGAGTCCGATGTGTCTCTTTTAGCATGTGTGCAGTTATCTCAATTATCACGTTGCGCTATCCAGCAACTGAACTCCTCGGTATTGGATGATGAGTTTTGCATTGCCATCTATCCTCAATATGCGGCACACCCAGTACCCGATTCCAACGTGCGGCCTATATACCTCGCTCTTGAAAGCCGTGTTCTCTTCGAGGTGTGGTTTGTGCTTCTCCGCGCATTCACAATCCCAGAGCTTTACGGTCCTGTGTCTCAGGGAGAAGATCCCAATAAAACATCCGAAGTCGAGACCACCGAACCACCCTTGACCAAAGACATGTTTCGGATTGAACGATTCTTGAGCTTGAAAATTGTGGAGGCAAAGCTGTTTCGCACCAAGGAGGAGGACACTCCCCGAAGCCGGAAGGCATCAAGATCACATGGCCAGCCTGTTCCAACCTCGAAGGTCAGCGACTATTACACAGAGGTGCTCCTAGACGGGGAAATTCGTGGCAAGACTGCCGTCAAGTATCGCACCACGAATCCGTTCTGGCGGGAAGACTTCCTCTTCACTGATCTGCCGCCAGTGCTATCCCAAGCCTCTATCCTCGTCAAAACTCTCAATCCAACACAAAGGGACTGGACACTTATTGCCCACGGAACATACGCACCCAACCAAGACGTGAGTGCTGTGAACATGCTGGATGAGATCGAAATTTCTGCAAATGATATCATATTCGGACGCGTAGATCTGCGACTTGAAGAATTAGATGCTGGCGTGAATATCGAAAAGTGGTGGCCTATCCTGGATAACCAAGACCAGGCAATCGGCGAGATGTTCATGAGAGCCCGGATGGAGGAAACCGTCGTCTTGATGTCCGACGAGTACTCGGCGATGTCGGAACTTCTCCACTCCTTCACCAATGGTCTCACGATCAACATGGCACAACTGATGTCATCGGAGCTAAATCACCTGGCCGAGATGCTTCTGAACATTTACCAGGTCTCGGGGTCAACGGTGGAATGGATCTCAGCCTTGGTTGAAGATGA